CAGCCTTCTCCTGTTGCCAGCTAATAGAGTCATCCCTTTATGTGCTCTGGTGTGGGTGTGGGGAGGGAGTTCAACGTTCAACCCCTCCTGCTGACCGGGGGGGAGGGCTCTTACATACACCTTCCATCCCTCAAACCATACTAGCAATCAAATGATAAAAGTCATTGACATTGACAAAAGTCTGTACAGAGACACGGCGTCCCCATGATTTATCTAAATCCATCTTGCTCTGTACTATGGGGGGGGAGGGGGTCTTTTTTCCCTGGTGCTTGTGCAATGCTGATTTTTTCAGAACATAAAGTTAATTCCCAGATGCCTCCCTTGCCTCTCTGAAATAATCCCCCCATGCGGCTAGGGTTTAGTTTCCCGCTTGGCAGAGAACCACTTATCCGCAGCACAGTATTTCCTCATTTGGGTTTGCCGAAATCCTCGCCACAAGGCCCTGGAGGGGGCCATTGCAGACGCTTTGTTTGCTTTGGCAGCACGCCGGCTTTTTGGAAATCACACGTCCCTGCAAACTCTCCCTTCTGTACCTCTCTCCACGCCAGCGGCACCAAGTCACCTCAGTGCTGTGGGCCCAGGCCTGGAGGGTGAAACTGACTAGTACCGGACTAGCACAGGACTTCTGAGCGGCAGAAAGACCACGTTAAGACTATTGCAGGGGTGGCCAACCTGAAGTTAATATGCGGCTCCTTGCAAAGGTACCAAATCGAGGGCTGGAGCTACAGGTGCCGAATCCCCACTGGGCCGGAGGGTGCTCACTGTTCAACCCCCAGCTCTGTCCTAGGTGCTGTCCCTCTCCATCCTGCCACTTCCTACCCCCTCCACTGAGCCTGGCACACCCCTACTTCCCCCTCCCATGTCTCCCACTGAGACAAAGCTGATCCCAGTGGGCAGGAGGAAAAGGAGGAGGCACTGACCGGTGGGGCTGCCCGTGGGCGGGATGTGCTGGGAGTGGGGGTGGAGAGATGATCAGGGCTGGTGACAGAGAACTGTGGCTCTTTGGCAACGTGCATTGGTCAATTCTGGCTCCTTCTCAGGTTTAGATTGGCCACCCCTGGATTACTGAAAAGCCTTCAGTGGCACCCAGGCCCAGTGACGGCCCTTCTAGCCAAGGGTGAATTTCATCCGCAGGAATAAAGGGGAATATTTACACAGCGATTCCATGTCGAAGGCCCTTTCCTGTGCCGGCAGGAGACAGGCTGCATGTGCCGCACACCCCGCCACATCACGTTACAGTGACACTGAAACCCTGCCATCCCGGTATTCAAACTGTCGACTTCAATTCTGGCTCCCTCCCAACTCGGGCCCGGCCTGCCTTCATGCTCCATCCCTCCCCTAGACAGCTGGCCATGCATCTGCGCATGAGACTTCTCTTACACCCGCAGAAGCTATAGCGCTTACTTGTTGCTGGTGGTGTGGTAACCTCAGTGGTCGGTGTTGTCCTACTGGAGCTACCTGTAGCAGGGAGATTAACCATCGTGCTTCTAGTGGAGACAGTGATATTATGGACTGCTGCAGTAGTGTTGATGATGGTGGGTATGGTTTCTGTCACCGTAGGCACAGCCCCTTGAGTTGCGGTTGTGTTTGCCATGGTGACAAGAGAAGCTGTTGGGATGCTCCCTCTTCCGGCTGTAGTCTCCAGGGGTGTGGTGATTGTGTTAGTTGTTAAACAGGTGACGACTATCACTGTCCCAGTGCCTGTTGAAGTTCCCCTTTCTGTGGTGCTCTCGCTTGTTGCAGTACTCGACACGCTCGTGGAGCTGTTGCCCACCAGGATTTCAGTAATGCTGTCCGCGGTTGATGTTGTTTCCCTCAGGGACGTGGTAACAGACGTGGGAGTGGTGGTCTGAACAGCCGTGGTATTGGTCCTTGGAGGGGTGAGGGTGGCAAGTGCCGAAGGACTGGTTTCTGACACTGTAGGCACAGCCCCTTGAGTTGCGGTTGTGTTTGCTGTTGTGACAAGAGAAGCTGTTGGGATGCTCCCTCTTTCGGCTGTAGTCTCCAGGGGTGTGGTGATGGTGTTAGTTGTTGAACGGGTGACAACTATCACTGTCGCAGTGCCTGTTGAAGTTCCCATTTCTGTGGTGCGAAGCACTGGGACCGTGCTCTCGCTTGTTGCAGTACTCGACACGCTCGTGGAGCTGTTGCCCACCAGGATTTCAGTAATGCTGTCCGCGGTTGATGTTGTTTCCCTCAGGGACGTGGTAACAGACGTGGGTGTAGTGGTCTGAACAGCCGTGGTATTGGTCCTTGGAGGGGTGAGGGTGGCAAGTGCCGAAGGGCTGGTTTCTGTCACCGTAGGCACAGCCCCTTGAGTTGCGGTTGTGTTTGCTGTTGTGACAAGAGAAGCTGTTGGGATGCTCCCTCTTTCGGCTGTTGTCTCCAGGGGTACAATGGTTGTGGGAGCTGTGGGGGTTGTTTCTCCTATGTTGTTTGGAGTTGCCATGGATATTGTGTCAGCTAGTGTAAGGACAGTGTTGGTGGCTGGGGGTGTGGTTGCTGTCTTTGTGGTTTCAGCGGATAGGGTGATGGTGGACTCTGCTGCCAAGCTGGTGATCAGTAGAGCTGCAACATCATTTGGGGTGGATTTTGCTTCAGGTGTAGTAACAGCCGGTGGGGGTGTATCCTGCACGGTGGTGCTTGTCCCTGCTGCCGTAGTCCTAGATACAGCTGCTGTAGAGAAAGGAGAGGCTGTGCTTGTCATGGCTCCGGGAGTGGGATCGGCTGTTGGTCTGGTTGTGTTTCCCCTCGGGAGCGTGGTCCTCGGTGTAGTCTCTGTGCCTGGAGTGGTGGCTGCACCAGCAGCAGTTCCGGACGGCGGGAGGGAGGGCGTTGGAAGTCTCCCGCCTGTTGCTGTGCCGCTCGTTGCACTGGTTTCAGACGGCATGAGGGCTGCCGGTCTGGTCTCTGTTGCAGCGGGGGTGGCTTCGGGGGCTGTGGTCAGACTGCGGCTAGAAACAGCGGCTACTCCAGTGGCCTTCGCTGCTGTCGGGGTGGGCAGCAGAGCTGGGCTCTGGCGTGGCGCCAGGGTGGCAGGGTCCGTGGGGGAAATGGCTGGAGCGGTGGTGTCATTTCCTATGATCCACGACGCTGGAAAGAGACGGGAACAGTCAATGGCGCAAGCTCGCGCGCTACCACCCGTGACCGCAACGGCCTGCTCTGCGCCGAGCACGGCAGCCCACGCGCTCCCCCAGCCTCAGGACGGTCCCTGGACAGCCCCCAATCACCCAGCCACCTCGCTGCCTCTGTGGTGGGCTCCAGGCTATGCCCCCTCCCCAGCCCCCGGCATTCGGGGCGGCCATGCCCCAGCCATCCCACTCATCGGTGTCCTCTGGGCAGGCTCCGGAACATTCCAGGAGCTAACACAGCCACCGTACGTCGTGAGGCGTTGGGGCTGCTTCGCCTTCCGGACCCCTCAGAACCGCCCGCCCACCGAGCCAGCCCTAGGCCCCGCCTCAGAAATCACGGTCCGGGCATTTCCACCGCTGGGTGACACCGAACTCGGAGGAGTTGAGCCGCACCCGTGTTCTCAGCCAGGAGCCGCTCTCTGTAATGAGGGACTCCATTCACCTCAGAGCTGTTCTGGGGGGGACGGGACGGGACGACACCCCCAGCACTGCCCTAAATCTCAGCTCTCCCTGGCACGCCTACAAGGACCATCCTAGAATGTGCGGAGTCCTCTTCACCTTCCGCCATGACATCGCCCTTATGGGCCTTCCTCTCCTCACTCGGTACCTGGGACACGCGCAGCAAGCCGCCGTGCCTGACTACCGGGAGCACGTCCGCAAGCTGAGGCAAGGGGACGTCTTTCTGGGTCAGCACCAGGCGGCGAGGGTCAGGGAGTGCAGCCGCCAGAGGACGGGCTGATCGCACACTGTAAGGGTCCCCTACGCCCACTGGTGGGCCAGCTAGCCCCGTGCGTCGGGGGTGCAGAGGATTTCAGGTCCCATCTAGGGGTGCCGTTCTCTCGCGGAGCACGGCCTGCAGAATTCACACGCCGCCGCAGATAATCCCCCCCTCCAAAGTGATCCCTTGTGTTGCCAGCAACGCAGGTGGCTCAACCCAGAAACTGATTAAAACCCAGAAACTCAGATATGGACGCACCCAACCCTTGGGGAAAACTGGGTGCCGGGGGCTTGTCTCCTGAATCCAAGTCAGGCTTAGGCACAAGCCAGCCCCTTTTAGGAGAAAAGCACCAGCCAGTCACAGCCCACCCATGGACTGACCCGACCTATTGTTTTCAGAAGAAACAACGAAGCCTGACTTATGGGTGGCATCCTCAGGGCTGTTCTGGCTACCTGTGCCTGGACAGCTCTATAAAAAGGCCCTTCTCCCTCACGTGTAACAGACACGATAAGGGACGCGCACCCAGAATTTCAGGGCAGATGAGGGGAAATTGCTCTGCTGGCATGACGGTGGCCGGATTTATGGCCACCTCCGTCGCTGGAGAAGCTGCGCAAATAAAAATGACACGACCTGTGAGTGATGGGGGGAGGGAGAAAGAGACACCCAGTCCCACACCGCTGTCACAAAGCTGGGCTTCCATAGCTCCCCACCAGTACTGCGGCCAGCCAGCGGACAATGCCCCAGAGCAAGCTGCCCAGCCCTGGGGGCCCCGCAGCCGAGAGGCCAGGAGCTGGAGGATTTCAGGGCGTGGGGGTCCAGGAGAACCGGCCTGAGATGGAGGCTTCTGGATGGGGAGAGGGGGAGAACTCAGGCGTCTCCCAAGGGAAGGGCCTGAGGAGCCAGGGAGCTGCACCCCGTCCAGACTGAGCAGCGCACCCCCGAGGCTAGCGCACCTCAGCTCTGTGCACCCCAGCCGTGTGGTGGGAGCCAATGGCTGGGGGAGGGGTAAAGGTTTGGGCCAGGTAGCAAGGGATTGTGCTGCTGTTTTGCTTTCCTTGGGGGGCTGACTTCCTGGCTGGCCCGCTGCCCTGCAGCCAATCCCTCGTCTGCTCGTCGCTATCGAAACGGCCTCGCAACGCCTCGGCGCACCACTGGGTGCTTGCGTCAGGGGCTGCTGGGCCCGCTCCCCAAAGAGAATCTGTGCCCGACGCCGAGAGAAACGGCTGCTGGCTGCCAGCCTTAGGACACCCCCAAGCGCCTGTGTCCAGTGTGGAGTGGAGACGGGGGGGGGGTTACCCCATTTGGGATACTGAGATGGCATGGACTTGGCAACAGTCACCCAGATGGGCGGCCGGGTCCCCCGCTTCGCAGTGCGGCTCCCTCGGACCGCTGCAGCTCCCTGCGCTGCAAACACCACACACGCGAGCTCGGCGGCGAACAGCCCAGCTTCCCAAAGGGGGTTGACCTGGTGGCGCTGCTATCGGAGGTCCCGAGCAACCGGCTTACCCGCGCTCAGAGATGTGGGGAGGGTCCGGGCGGAGGTCGTGAGGACCGGGGTTGATCCTGAGCTGCCCTGCAAGGCACGTATGGTAGGACTGGCCACAGTTCTCCCGGTGTCGGCTGGGCTGGGGGTGGCACTGGCGGTCGTGGTGTCCTCGGCTGGTGCAGAGGTGGGCTCCTTTGGGGTACCACCAGGCACCGTAGCAGCTGTCTCTGTTAATGCTCCTCCTTCTCTGATAGTCTCAGATAGACTAGCGGTCACCGGGGCACCTTGGGGTGTCTCTGCAGCTGCTGTCGAGAGCGGCGCAGGGGTCCCTGCTGCTTTGCTGTCGGCTGCATTACCTGCGGCAGGGGCAGCGGTGGCAAGGGCAGGGGTGGGAGTCGTGACTGTTGTCGGGAGTCCCATGACGGCTGCGCTGCCCGCTGAGGCTGGGGGGGCCAGGGGT